TTACATTTAAAGTTAATTTTACTAAACAGCAACTTCCTCCTTACAAATTTGTAATTTAAAAAAATATATATATTTCTTCAAATCATTACTTGCGTTTTTTTTGCATTCACACTTAAGCATAGCCTACTTTGATATGCTATAAATCTTTTAAAGTGTATTCTTTCCGTAATAAGTACTCTTTTTAAAAGTATGCTAAAGTGTACTTCTTCACACGGTGATAGTGTGTTTTTAAATGTTAAAACAAAGTTCACTTGATATACTGAATGCATTTAAAAATGTACAGTCTTTCTCTGTCCAAAAATATTGATGACTCATCCTGCACTATACAAATTTTTGTCCTATCAAGTGCCATATAGAATGAGCAAGTCCCTCCCCTACACTCAAAAAAATGAACGAGGAAGGTTGTGCACTTTACATAATATATTTATATTTAGTTTACTTATAATAATTGTGTTTGTTGACTTGAAATGTTTTTTTCTAGTAAGGTCAACATAATTATGCCTCAACTTAACAGTACAAAATCCTAACGCGTTGTCTAAACACAAACTATTTATGTTAAGTAAAAAATTCTTACATCCAGATGGTGGCAGTATAGTGCGACGCCAACTGCCATTTTGCCCTAACTTAATTTGATTGTGTTCAATCTGTTTAACTATATCCTCCTGAGACCCAGAAAAAAAAAGTTTTTTGAATTTAGAGTTTTTCCATGTCATCACACTGTTTAGAGCACAATAAACAAATGGTAAAAAAACACATATATAAAATAATATTTTATTCATACGTTATGCTATGTCCTCTGTAGTGGACGCCAGGACTAAGTTGTTTAAAAAATAAAATGACATGAAATTATATGTATAGGCAAAAACAATGGGATTTTTTTTCAATCACCAATAAATTTTGGGGTTTCAGGATTTTTTCAACCAAAATTTGTATAAAGATTATTCTCAACTATGTTATGAAAGAAATAATGGAATGAATTGATACACCATTTTACTTTTTGCAATATGTGGGTAAAATGGCCATAAATTAATATTCCCATTCAATGCAATGTATCTATACACTGTATCTAATTTGCACATTAATGTGTTCTTGGAGCAACATTTAATGAAAAAAGAAGTGTAACAATTGGAGTAATTATTGGCAACATTTTAATAATATCATCTAATATTTCATAGGAATATTGATGTATAATTTATCTCCATATTCACTTGTTGTGTCTCCCAGAATGCCTGATAAACATGGTTTTAGTCCTGATGTCCTCTACAGTGGACACGTTTGAAATCAATGCCCTGTTCTGTAACAGAAAGTATTTTTTTTATTTGAAACCCCTTAACATTTTCCTGAGATGTTGTTTTATGAAATACAATTTGAAAAAGTAGTCCAATTTAAATATAATTACAATATATTATCATATTTCCATAAGAATGCTACATTTGATCACTAAATTAATGTCCAACATTTTTAAAGACCAAGGAGAAGTTGTTTTCATGGTGAAACCTCCAAACATTTGGTATCTCTGAAAAGTCCTGAATGTGCTCTTTACAGGACACCCAGGTTGTGTCATGTGACATGTATGATGTCAGAGAAATTCACTAAAATATAATGTCCACTACAGTGGACAAAAGTCTATTCTTGGGTCCCAGGAGGATATCTATTACATGTGATTACATGATTGATTTCTGTTGCTTTGACTGAAACTGGGCGGTGCTTGTTAGTTCCCAGCATGCTTTGCATATGGTTGAATTAAGAGAGAATAAATGTTAAAATTAAGTGTTATTTTATATTTTTTTGAGAAAATGAGAAAAGGGGAAGACTTGATAGTGTGTAATTGTGTTTAATGTTCAATAACATTGGAATTATTAGAACCTTTTAAATTACAGTGGCTTACCATGGTGGAGAAGAGTGGAGCATTTTGTTTGTCTGTGGACTGATTTCAAGTTTTTCCACTGCTTTGGTTGAAGGAGCGTGTAAATCTTAGCATTTAAGATGCTAATATGTGCTGCTGCTAGCAAATAGCTACACTCAAAAGTAATCTAAATTAACTAAGATTAAAACACATAACTCAAAAAAGATGCAATTGAGTTTAATGGAAATGTTAATATCATGTTTAACCAATGCATCTATTTTGTATTCAAATAACATGATAAAGGTTGGTTGACTTAACTTGGTTTGTTTAGATGGAATATAGGTGGCATGATTAAATAATGTTCATCCAATGAATTATTTTTTTGAGTGTAAGACCACCTGTAGCCTACCTATACGGCTAATTAAAATCATTAATATATCTCGCCCAAACCTCTCATTTCGATAGAAAATGCATTAACGCGAGAAAGAAAACTGTGTATTATACAATAACAACTTACTCTAACAGATTCAAGAGAGTCATTCTCCTTGTTAGCTGTAAGAGTGACAGACCTTAGCATCAGCTTGCTGGGTAATAGCTGGGCAGAGTTTGTGACTAGTGTTTTTAGTCTGGTGACTCTGTGTTTAAAAACGGCCATTTAAAGAGAATAGTGTCAGTGTCCTTGGCAGTGAGAGAAACGGTTTCTTTCCATAATAGAGTATTTTAAAATCCCCGTCACTCATAAAAGGATAATAAAGGCAGCAAATAATGTCTGTGATTGGACAGAACTATAAGCGGGCTCCCTGAGGACCATGCCACACTCTCTCTCTATGAGGTTCTCTATTAGTGCCTATCCTTCCCTCTACACTATTTATTTGCTTCTCTGTTGCTCTGGCATTGCTTGCTCTGTTGAAACCATGTATGCCCACTTACCCCTAGGCTGATTCTGAGTTTGGAAGGGTGGGTAGCAGGGGGAAGGGCAGAAGGCGACTGAGTTTAATGTTGTCCCTGGCACCAACCCTCCGGGCCTCATATCTACTCAATGAGATGATGCAAGTGTGTGTGTGAGTATTTGCATTTGCTTGGTTTAAGGGAGAAAAAGAGACCACGTACATGTATTTGTTGGGACAGTGGAAGAGTGCACCCTGAAGGAAACATGACAGGAGGGATGGACTAATGCATAAAGAAGGAAAGGATGTAAGCACAGTGATAGGAATATGACAGAGTAAGTGAATGTGGTTGAAGGATTAGGGGCCATTTACACAACACCGTTTTCAACTAAAAACAAAAAACTTTGTATGCATTTTGGCCGTTTGTTTAAGCCTACACGACAACAGCGTTTAGGGGGCCTGAAAACGCAAAGTTTTTTAAAACAATACTGTTATTGTCTCCGTGTAAATGTGAATTTGTGAAAATGGTGACATCATGTCATGTGCATGCATATTAAAGGGATAGTTCACCCAAAAACGAAAATTAGCCCATGATTTACTCACCCTGAAACCATCCTGTACATGACATTCTTCTTTCAGACGAATACAATCGGAGTTTTATTAAAAAATGTCCTGTCTCCTCCAAGTTTTATAATGGACTACAACAATATTTTTCTGTATTTTATTAAGTCACAATGGTACTCATAATAATCTCCACCTACCGAACGCAAAAAAAAGAGCACGAGGCCTGGTTGAGCTGCAAAGATAGTGCTGTTGCTGTGTCAAAGACACAGTTTTTTCCACAACATTTCCAAAACTCATTTGTTTGACCTTCTTAAGGCTGAAGAACTTAGAGTGGTTAAAACTTACCGGTATTTATCGATGCGTTGCACATTTTATGAAGAACAGCTTGTTTTCTGTAGCCTTTGTAAGACGGTTAATCGCCCCGAAAATTAACCATGGTTTTTGTGATTGATTATTGTTTGTATTACCATAGTTTTCCGACAAATATCACGATTAAATAGTGGATAACATCGTATCTATAATGTATAATAAATTACAAAAAGCATACCACTCTGAAACGTCCTGTGAAATCCGTGACTGCAAAGTCTGTTCATGAAATCCGTTCTCTGCACGGTCTTTTTGTTCGTTAACACTGTCAGGGTCTGAATCGTGCTCGAATTGGTTTGAAATTGAGACCATCCTCAATATTTATATACTAGAGAAGAACTCTATACGCTGATTTCACGCAGCCGCCATTTTTAAATGGCTCCGGTGGGAAGAAAAAACGGAAGTGTCGCCTTTAATCATAGGAGAGTCGCGAATGCGATGGCGTATTGTTGTGTTTAATGTAGAAATTAGTTATTCTAAAAATGTACATACATTTCTTTCATACTTTAGACTATATACAGTGAAATTCATTTATAAATAAAATAATTTTTTATATATATAATTCAGAACGTAAAAAAAGAAGCAGGAACGAACTATATACATATCCTATATTGGATATTAACATCCAATAGTGTAAATCGCGGCAGCAGCTTCAGGTTGGTAGTCCAAGGCATTGTTGTCTATCTGTACTTCCGGGGTTCTTCCCACCGGAGCCTCGCTTTCGATTTCAAAATGGCGGCTGCGTGAAATCAGCCTATGGAGGAACTTGACATTTACCGAAGCGCTGCCCAGTGCCAAGCGCTGCCAATCACAACACACTGGGCCAGCTAACCAATCACAGCACATTTCGTATTTCAGAAGGAGGGGCTTCATCGAAATCGGTGTGTGCGAGCCAGACTGTGGAGAGAGGTGCTGTAATAATGTACATTTGTAATAAAAAATAATAATAATAATAATAAAAAAATCCATTATGAAAACATATTCTAGTACACCCCAAAAACAAAATCAAGACAGTAAAAGGGCATAATAGGAACCATTTATTTTGACAACGTTGACGTCTGACGAAAAACGCAAAGGAAAAACAGGTTGGGGTCACCTCAACCCACGGACTACAGTGTAAAAGTAGCCCAGTTCTGCAGGAAAACCGCAGACTTGGCAACATTGTTAAACAGACACACCTGAACAAGCTGAGCAAGGATTAGAAAGCTACAGGCAGGGTTGGAGCTAAACTCTGCAGGACAGTGGATCTCGAACCAGTTTTGCCCTGTGTTTAAAAAAGTAGAGATTATGCATGTTGCAATAGTTTATAGTAGCTATATAAAATCAAATATATTCAATAATCATGCCATGATTCATACAAAACAAAACTTTTTTGCACTCAAAACACACTGCTTTGATATCCTCAGTCATTCTTGACTAAACTTGTGTTGTCCCTATTCCAGATGTTGATAAAAAAAGATTGAATTTAAAATTTATCTAGTGCTGCCACCAAGTGTCCACATGCAAAAAGGGCATTCTTCCTCTGAATCCTGAAGAATTAGGCTATTACAAATCATTTCTTCATCAATGTTTGAGAATAATATACATTTCATGAGAGCTGCATGTGTAAACACTAAAACTTACAAACTGCCAAACTTAAATGGAGAAGAAAGGGGCATTTTTGTCTCATTTTTCACTGGATCGCAAAGTCTCACATAGGACCCTTTGCCAGCCAGTCCGAACCCAGGATAAACAGGCTCTCTAAAAACAGTTTGGTGCTTATAAATGAGACTCATGTTGTCGGAGACATCGTAAAATGCCAAGATTCCAGCCCTGTAGTCCAAATACACTCCTATTCTGGAGCCACAAGATTTAATCTTCGAAACAGTTTTCTTATTGTCCTGCCAAAATTCAATCCAGGACCAGTTACAACGTATTCCCCATGAGTGCGAGTTTCTCCCAAACAGAGTACGCTGCTTGCCTTTCCTACGGATCCCTTGGTAGGACACAGCAATACAGACCCAAGTGCCCCCGCCAAACTCCACCTCCCAATATTTAGGGGACCCTCTGAGACGTTCATTGCACAGGATCTGTGCCCTGGAGTTAAACCTCTGAGTCTGTTCAGGATAGTCCTGGATCAGGTGTGAGGCCATCACCTCTCTGTCATCTTTTTTTAAGATGAGACTTTCATGTGCTGTGTTGGTATTAAAAGTGAGCTTTGATGCATCTGAGGTGGACAGATAAAAAGATGCAATATAAAACCACCATACAGTAAGCATAACTTATGCAATTGCCAAATTATAACATAAAAGATTTTCTGTGCATTCAGTTCTATACTGGAAACTTACACTGTAGAAACTCCTCTCGAGTCTTTGGTGGTGGGAATGTTACGATTCTAGTGTTTTTCACTGCAAAGAATAATAGTTAAGATGAATTAAAGACATTTTATAACTATAAAATATATATTTAAATAAATCTTCTGCCAACCTTTTCTGGAAATTGTGAGTAAACTCAACTTGCTGGTCATGTTTAGCTTTTCTGTCAGTTCATTAACTGCCATGGAGTCACGCTCAAAAGAGTTGTATGGATGCACATGGAAGACGAATAATTTTTTATACTCGGTCAGTGTGGGCAGAGACACAGCGCTCTGTAGAGAGAACATAATACTTTAAATGCACTTGAAAAGTGACTGTACCTGATCATTTTACAAGCCAATCCGACAAGAATCCATTTCTACATTTGTTTCACAGCCATCTCGAATGTACCTCAAGAAATCGAACTTTATTGTCTGTATGAGAGAGCAGCTGCAGGTGTTGTAGATCAGCATCTGAGGTCTTCATATGACCGATCTCCTGGAGTAGAGTCTTTATGAATCCCTCCGCTTGCTTCACTGCAGTCTGTGTCTGACCTTGGATCAGCTCTGTCACTTTGGTTTGATTGTCCTTCAAAGACTGGATCAGCTCAGTAAACTCTCTCTCGTTCTTCTCCAGTGCCTTATTTGCTGAGGCCTAATAGTGAAGAGGGATGAGTGGATGTCTTAAAATTAGCTACACAAGCAATACCATACCATAAAAATGATGGTTACAGGTTTAAAGCAAAGTTAAATGCCCTCTAACCCTGAACATTTCAACAGCTTGTCTCAGCTCTTGCACATCTTTCTCCTTTGCTTCAATTATGTCAATGTTGTGCTTCAGCAACTCCCCCAACTTAACCTTTAAAAGAAACATAATTGCAATTAAAATTCAGTTGAACACATTCTAGTGTTTTTAAGCCTTTTTTATCTCTTTTATTGGCACTGATAGTACAGAAAAAGAACACGGGCCAGACTCAAATTCATTCCACCCACATAAGCAACATGTTGAGCATGTGTGTTAACCACTGGTAATAGGCTGGTATTTGGCCATTTTGGCATTATCAGTCAAGTGCTTAAAAGATTATGTGTATTTTCAGTCATCTTTAGTCAGATTAATTTACATTGTGACTGTGCTAAGATGCAATCAACTGTCAGAAACACATCCTCGAATTTAGCACATGTATCTCTTCACTTCACTGATATTGCATTCTCAATTACCGCAATGAATCGCTTACAAATGACAAAGAAACAGCATTTCTCAGAGAAAATTGCAGAGTAGATCAATCTCCTGTGGGAGGTCCCCTAACAGTTTACTATTGTTTGTAGCCCATTTGTCTTCATGTATAAAGTTAAGTCTTTGGGTTAAGATTCATTGAAGGCCGACACGCTAACATCGCTGCTGAAGGACTGTGCTACACAGTAGCAATTCTTCTCCCCACAAGAACTCTGGTCAAGCTTACTTGTTTTATGTATTAGAGGAATCGAATACACTGGCGAGCCCCCAAACGACTGCTGGGCCAAATAAAGAGAAATCTAACATGCTGAATATTCAATCAAATTTAATTTAATTTAATCAAATACATTTATATTTACACATTCAAATTTTCATGTGAATTCATTCAAATATAGAGCACATTGCCTGTCCACGTTTTCCAGTGGCGTTGGTTCCGGAAGTGTTTTTCCATTAATGTTTCCCATAGGGATTTTAAAAAAATCTTCGTTTAAAGGTGGGGTAGGCCTATGTGATTTGGAAAACGACCGCCAGATTTTGAAAATGTACAATTCAAATGGTCCTACCTTCTTTCCTCCAACGCCGGTGTTGTGCCTAATTTCGACCCCCTGCCAAATTATTACCCCCCTCGTTGAAGTCAGTACCTGATTGCCTAATCCCAACCCCGCCCCTAATCCTACCCCCTCCCCCACAACTTATCCTAAACCTACCAATGCTAGGGGGGTAATAATTTGGCGGGGGTCGAAATTCGGCACAACACCGGCTCTGACTCCACCCATTCGAAGAACATGGACGCGCAATCATGCACGAGCGAAAACTCAGATGCGCGAGAGATTGTAATGACGATTTACTACTAATCGAACCATAGACAGCATGGAACCGGCTTTACTGACGAGATGCGCATGCGTCACAAACTTTGAGCATGCGCACGACCGGGGGTCACGCGCGCTGGGGGGAGGGGGGCGTGGTACAACTGTTTGATTGACGGACTTACTGTCCAATGATTCTGGTGGTCTTGGAAATGATTGGCTGGAGTTTTTCGAGTCCTGCCCGTTTCACAGATGATTAAATTGCTTAATTTTCATTTCAGTGCTTCTAACTCAGTGGCTGTAAGTGGGTTAGGAATAGGATTTCAAGTTATTTTGAAAAAATGTACAAAAAAGAGAATCACATACCCCACCTTTAAAAGCCGTGAACCAAGTCACTAGCTACGATGTGAATCACAACATTACAAACTTTTTATTTGAAGCAAAAAAGAACTGCAATCCCATTAAGCATTGCAAACAACATAATCAAATTAAAAATGAGAGATATATTAAAGGTATTGTAGGTAGGAATTTTATAAAAAAAACTTTTTTTCAAATTTGTTTAAACTTTCTGTATATATCAATGCATAATTAAAATGTAAGTATTCTGATAAAAAGAGTCTAAAAATCGAGTGACTCTAGTCCGTTTAATCTACACTAAACACAGCTCATTATTTCCTTCCGGGACGAAACAAAGGATTGGCTTAGGCGACTGTCACTCTCTCGCAACCATGGCAACCACCCTTTTGCCACACAGGACCTGCCCACTTGCGCGTATCCGTTTGATTTGAAAAATTCAAGAGGCACGGAACCTAGGAATAGCAAAACAATGGCAGAGAAAGACCAATCAAAATTCACATATGAAGTTCGCGAAGGCAAACCTTAACCAGGCAAAAAAAGGAAGACAGTAACGTTACTAGAAAAGGTAATGAACAAAAAGTCTTTGGATAAACAACGAAATAAAATGCGTGTCAATATCGGCGTGGCTTTCCAGCGATGGCGAGAACTGAGAGACCTCAAGGGGCTGAAAAGTGACGCCTTGTGACGACCTCCTCTCCTTCGCCCTCGACCCCGGATCTGTCCTCGAGCTGACGATGCGGTACTTGTCTCTGGAGTGTAGTCCTCATCAGAGTCAACAATGCTTTCATCATGGAAACTCTTACATGCAGAACACCATATACGGTATGTTATGAATGTTACAAGAAATTCATCTTCATCACAGTGTAAATGATGGCAATGGAAAAACGTGTATCATGCAACCTGTTTTTAGCTTTGCCTTATAGATAACTAGCTCGTTAGCGAATCAATATATATTTTAAACTTTACCAATATCAATATGCTAGCTTGATAGTGAGTACTAAAATACATCTTATTTGTTTATCTTCATAATGATAAAGTTAGATTTTTTTTATTACATGTGATTCTGACATGATGTCACTACATGCACTGCGCTCCTTCCTCTCAGGTAAATAATGCGTCTTCAGCTCAGCGGTCGGAGTCGCGCGTTCATGTGTTTTTGGGGCGTGGCTTTGGACGGAGCCCAGAAGGGAGGGGGTGGAGTGAATGGAAATAATGAGCTGTCTTTAAAACAGTCGTGAGAGGTCTACAGACACTTGATTTTTATACTTTCTTTTTCAGAGTACTTACATTGTAATTATGCACTGATATATACAGAAAGTTTAAACAAATTTGGAAAAAAGTTTTTATAAAATTCCTACCTACAATACCTTTAAAAGTATTCATTTAATGTTGTTGATTATATCTACAGAAACAATTTTTTTAAGTTCATTGCAATATATAGGCTATAGCCACACACACATGCTGTTACGTTTCTACGAGGGAGGACTCAAATGCAGAAATGTGTTAACAGGTTTTATTGAAAGACAGTTGACAAGACGAGATGGTGGTGGGTGAGGAGGTGAATAGTCCAAACAGTAGGCAAGGGTGAGGCACAAAGACAGGCAGGCTGAGAGAGCGCTGAATCCAACCCAGAATGAGAGTAGGAGGGAGGGTAGACACAGAAGGCCAGCAAGAGACTGTCTTGCTGCTTGGCTGATGGTAAAAGCGGCCAGGGAAGCTCAGCTTGGAGACAAACTGGGAAGACAAAAGACACAGCAAGCACAAGAAACGACGAGACTAGACGAGGTGAGATTTAAGTTAGCTCTAACTAGAAATTACTAGACTGTCAAACAAACAATGTAGCACAACATCTATACAGAAGAACAACATCTTACGAACTGGCAACACATGAGGGAGAGCACACATATAAAGGGAGCTAAGAACAAGAGGAACAGGTAAGCTCAGACAAGGAACAGGTGACCACACTCAGGTAAACGAGGACTCAACTAGACAAGAGGGTGTGGTACAGGGAAACAAGGAGGCAGGAACAGAGCACATGGCCAACACAAACAAAACCATACGTTCAAGCACAACACAAACATAGAGACATGAAACAAAGACAACACATACAAAGCTGCCAGAGCAAGACCCTGACACATGCATATGTTGACACATTGTTGACTTTTTAATAGGTGGAATTTTCTGTACCGCATCATGGGCAGTGTAGTTTTCTCCATGAATTCCATTTAAAGATGATTATTAAAATATGTTGAAATATTGCGCACAGATGGTTTCAACAAAAGCATACCATTGATCAACAAACTCGGAACTCACATTGGGTCTGTCTTTAAATGCTTGGTTATTGTTAAAAAATCTAAATCTCTATGGAGAAAATTGTGTTTACTTAAAAGATTAGTTCACCTCAAAATGAAAATTTCCTGATAATTTACTCACCCCAATGCCATCCAAGATGTTCATGTCTTTCTTTCTTCAGTGAAAAAAGAAAATAAGATTTTTAAGGAAAACATTTCAGGATTTTTTTCCACACAATGGACTTCAACGGTAACCAAATTGTTGAAGTCCAAATCAATGCAGTTTCAAAGGGCAATGAAGTGCTTCAAAGGGCTCTACACGATCCCAGCTGAGGAATAGGGTCTTATCTAGCGAAACGATCGGTCATTTTCTAAAAAAAATAAAAAAAAAATGTTTATACTTTTTAACCACAATTGTTCGTCTTGTGCTGGTCTGCGACGCGCATGCCAGGCATTACATAATCATGTTGGAAAGGTCACACTGGACGTAGGCGGAAGTACCGCGCCATTGTTTTAACTTAAATATGTCATTCAACATACAATAAAATTTGAACGATCCTCCTTCTCCATGCTTGTAAACAATGGGGCGGTCCGTCCAGCGTGACCTTTCCAACGTGATTAGGTAATGCCTGGCGCTAGACGAAAAATTGTGGTTAACCAGCACAAGACGAACAATTGTGGTTAAAAAGTATATACATTTATTTATTTATTTTTTAGAAAATGACCGATCGTTTCGCTATATAAGACCCTATTCCTCAGCTGGGATCGTGCAGAGCCCTTCGAAGCACTTCAAAGCCCTTTGAAACTGCATTGATTTGGACAACAATTTGGTTACCGTTGTGAGGAGAAAAAATGAAATGTTTTCCTCAAAAAAAACGTAATTTCTTTTCCACTGAAGAAAAAAAGACATGAACATCTTGGATGGCATTGGGGGGAGTAAATTATCAGGAAATCTTCATTTTGAGGTGAACTAATCCTTTAACTGCTTGCCCTTTTGGGTGTGACTTAATGTGGATGTGGGGGTGGGGGACTTTGATATGGGAAAGAGAAATATCCAAAAGATTTTGCTTTTTTTTTCTTTCGGAAAGGGGTTAGATGCCTTTTTGTTAGAGGCACTGACTCTGAAACACCCATCACAAAAATATATTACAGCGCCTAGATCGCTATACATTACAAAACCAACACCAGCCTATCACTACTAAACACCAAGTCCTGGCTCAGACTTTTAAGAATGACATTCTGCATTTTTAAAAAACACTTCTGACCTGTTTATTGGCCACCTCCACTTCCATTGCGATGACATTATGACCTCTGTGTTTATCAGTAATGCACAGGTGACAGATGCAGCGTTGGTCTGTTTGGCAGTACACCTCCAGCATCCTGCCATGATCAGGGCAGATGTTCTCCTGCAACGTTGCTTTCGGCTCCACCAGTCTGTGCCTCTTTCCGTGCAAAGTGTTATGCAAATCAAGATGAATATCACAGTATGATTCCACACACTCCAGACAGGTCTGATCAGCTTTGCGCTTCCTTCCGACGCACGCATTACACTCCACATCTGTGGATCCACTTGAATGAAGAGCTGGAGCTGTGTCCTCCATGATTGTGGATGTGCTGGCACTGGCACTGGCAGTACTTGACTGAGTTTTGTTTCTGTGGAAGTATGATTAAAGCACTGGCAATGCAGGATTCAAATATTGAGGACAAGGGTGTGGTTTCAGTGACTCAGAGGACTCCTATTGACAAAACCACTGAAAGAAGCCAAGCTATGTTCTTTCACAATAAACAAATCTAATCAAACAGAGAAAGCAACTACTCTATTGTACTTATGTATTCAGTGTCACATAATCCGTTCCTTCAGAAATCAATCTAATGCCAATATGGTGCTCAAGAATAATTTCTTAACATTATTATAAATATTAAGTTCAAAAGAACAACATTTTTGTTGTTTGCTCAGGGCATGAAAGCAACAAGACAATATTAATATGAGCTTTATTTTTATAATCAGTACTGTTTTAGGAATTTGTAAATGTATTTGTATATGTAAAGTTGAGTTTGCTTTGGCTGAACCCGTAGGGCAAACAATATTGGATTACAGTACTTCAAACAACAATTCTGTGTTGCAAACAGACAGATATATTAATGTCAGTATGTATGACAACTCATGAGCTGTGTGCAAAATCAAATACTAACATAGATGTATACTGCAGTAAACTATATAATTCACACTGCATTTTTTCAAACAGTATTAAATGCAACTATAAGGTTATGTCGTGGGCATCTACGACTGGTCGTGTGGGACATGTGCCAACTGTTGCTAGGGCGGTTTTGTCCCTTCTACTTGAAACAGGTTGTGGGAAAGAATATAAGGGAGCATCTCAAGTTGGCAAGCAAAGTTGTCATTTCGTTGTAGTGAAATGAGTGCCGATCCAGTGCTGGAATTTGTTGTTTTTTTCATGTTTTTCACTGTCATAATTGGTGGGAAGCAACGGAAGGAGTAAAGTTCTTGCGCACAGACGCATGCTTGTGAAATGACAAAACAAATGCTAGTAAATTGGTGCTTCTCAAACGGAAGGTTGCCAAGTGAACAAGTGTTGTCAAAGGCCATCTCCATTTGAAGGATCCTTGGAAGGTAGCCTTATTTTTGCGTCCTTCAGCTAATTTTGAGGGATGTATTAAGTGTATCCTTCATGTCCTTCAATCCTTTTAGACCCACAATCCTTTCCACACAATTCACAAAAAAGAACTGATGAAAACGAGTTGACACTGAGCTTGTCTGAGTTCATTATGAAATGTAAGACAAAAATAATGTTTTTGGAGAAGAAGGCATACATGTTATCTTTTGTTTTTGGTGTGAATTAATGACTTAAAGGGATAGTTCACCCAAAAATGAAAATTAAGTCATTAATTACTCACCCTCATGCTGTACCAACCCCGTAAGACCTTTGTTCATCTTCGGAACACAAATTAAGATATTTCTGATTAAATCTGAGTGTTGGATCACTCCTCCATAGGCTTCCTAAGGGAGTGAAACTTGACGGCCCAGAAAGTCATTGAAGAAAATGTTTAAATATTTCATGTGCCTACAGTGGCTCCACTATAAGTTTATCAAGCGACGAGAATACTTTTTGTGCGGAAAAAAAGAAAAATAACGACTTTATTCAACTATTCCACTGCTTCCTTGTGGGCCTGAGACGAGAGTTCAAGAGATTTCCAGGACGCATGCGCGAGAACTGACGTTCTTCTTCTGACTAAACTGCCACTGGGAGACCACAGACGGTTGTCAATCATTGCATTGCATTAGTAGAAACCAATAAAGATTTTTAATACAAAGTTTTTTCCAAAATTAAGTTTTAATGGTATGTTCATGTTGTGATAGAGGGGACGGGACGGGACGGGAACATGTGTGACGTAGCCATGCACACTTACTAGACCGTCTCATTCTAGCATTTGCTGAGGAGGAATGTAGTCTACAAGTCTCTGAAGGACTGGACTAGGATCGGCCGATCGGCACCTACTGTGTGTTCTGGGGTGCAGGGGATTTTTGGCCAGCAGGGGGCCTGCGGGGCCTCACGCATTTGCATGATTTGTATGGTGGTTAACAAAGCTGCTGAGTATGTCTATTCTTCACTATCTTTGCAAAGCCTTGTCTGTGTGTCACTGCAATCCTAAGCAGTCTTCGTTGTCATTGTTTGTCCTGGTTTTGAACTGTCAGCATTTTTTCTTGGATCATGGAATTGGATTTTTTTTTTTCGAATGAATGAATATCTTATATCCTGACTTTGACTCCAGGCACATGTCTCTCTGAATTGCAACAAATTCCTTCATCATAGCCTATACTGGTTTTACCACTGTACCAGAGGCTTTACAACAATAGCCGGATATTGCTGTGCAAGTGTGAGTAAATGTCACAAATGAGTCACAAATGCTGTTTTGTTTAGTATTTTGTCCAAAGAGAAAAAAATAACTGAAATTATAAGAGCTAACTTCAAATGAACAAAGTTAACACAAATTAAACAAAAAATCATAATGGTATTTTTACATCAATAATTATAGTATTTGAGTAAAAACGTAAAACTGTAAATTAGTGTTAGTAATTCCAGTCAAATAATTTCTCTCATATCTATTTATTATGCACTACTTCTGTCATATGTCTGCTGCCTTTATTTCCATCCTTTATCTTTTATCACTGTTCTTTTATCTTTAGTTTCATTTATGGCGTATCATTTCTCACATCTCTGTTTCTGTTCAATTCATAAATGGATTTGCTCGGTCTGTTGTAAGTCTTTTGACTTACATTGGTGAATTTGTTGATGATCTGCTGAAGCAGTGTTGATAATCAGAGGTTCTTGGATTTATCAATCCAACTCATTCATCACAGCGAAAGCTAGTTTTTCAGTTTTGTCATCCTAATCAATCCTACTGGGAATGTGAAACCCCTGTAAACACCTAGAACAAAAATCAGGTTCACACCTGGTTAAAAAATCATTGCAAAAATGTTTTATAACATTAAAGTTCAGTAAAGCATAATTTATTTTGATGACACTTGCTTTTTGATTTTGTTATCTAACATTCATGCATTTTAAGTCTGGTTTTTCTAAATACTTTCCGGGCCACTCTGTTATATTTGAATCATCTTCTATAAAAAATGGCAGAATAATGAAGTTAAGTTCAAGTTATTTATCAACATATCATATGGTGGCTAGAGCAAATAATGGATTACGTAATGATTGACACCTGTTCCCTCGCATATTTACTGTAAAGTTATTTGACGAATCACTTCCTTGTATTTAAAATAGCCAGCTGAGATGAACTGATAAGATAAGCCTATAAGGAAAGTCTTAGTTTCTCATTACACACATAGGCCTAGAGTAAAATAAATCAAATAAACAAACAAGTCAGCAAAATACAATTGTATTCCCACCTATATTCTAGTTTTTATTTCTGTTTCCAAGATTTGTACTTTAGAACTTCTCAGTTTATAGAGAAGTCATACCCTCTGGTCATACCCTCTGTGACGTTGTGGAATAAAAGTGAAACTATCTGTACAATTGTTCAAATTCTGCTGCACTGCCGTGGAGGTATGTTGGTTGTTTTGTTATGCTCAAATCTGCATTATTATTGTAACTGTAATTAAATTAGCATTTTCAAATTGTGTTCTTGTAAAATATCAAAGAGAATTTGTTCACTATCTTATAAGCAAAATAAGAGAAAATAAGAAATATAGAGTATATAATACCAACAGCATTTTAAGAGCACGTACTGTAAGATTATATACAGTATTGATGTCCTGATCAAGTTTTTTGTGCCCCCGATCCTATTTGTGTCATTGAATATTGAGTATCTGCCGATATCGAGTCCCAATCCGATACTTGTATTGGTGCACACTTCAAATACAGGTTATTAAAATCAGTACAATGTATACAGGGATGTGCTCAAGAGTTTCTCGGGGGGCTCAAATGTGAAAAAGAGGCATCTATCACTCTTTCTCTCTCTGTCTCTAAGCTTCTTCTATAAACGACTATTCTATTGTATTTGATATAAACTTACTCTATTTTATATGTACACAAAGCAGGATAATTGCTTATGATAATTGGAGATAAGGTTAGAGCATATAATATTCCAAATATCGAAAATAGTTTTATCTTTAGTTTCACTTCAGTAATGCTCTGAAGTTATTACGTCTCTGTAACAGTGTTCTTTAAAATACAGATTTTACTATATGCAAATTGCTAATTATGGGGGAGAAAATAGACCAATGTGTTAAAAGTATGGGCTGTGCTGTGTTTAAAGGGATAGTTGGTGAAAATTCTGTTATTTACTTTTCCTTGTGCCACATACTTTGGAAATTTATTTGCAAAAATGTCTCCAGTGTTTTTGTTCGTATAATTGCACTGACTTTCATTGCATGCACAAAAACATACATTCTTCAAATATATTCAGTTGTGTTCCACAGTAAAAAAAAAAAGAAAAAGATAAAGAAATGCAGGTTTGAAATGACATGGATGTCTAATTGAATGATGACAGAATTTTTATTTTGAGATTATTGAAGATTTTGGACAACCCTGCTTTAAGCAACCCACAAAAATAACTAATGTATTGCAACATTTATCTGAAGGTGTGTTTACCAGACGTCTGTACTGTCGTGGGAATACAGCAGCTATAGATGTTTCCGACATCTGTGTTTGTGAGCTCTTCTTGTTCTTGTTGTGTGTGCCCTGGGTGTTTCTTTGTTGACCTTCAACCAAATTGGCATAGTGACAAACGATCCTACATAATGTATCATGGCACTACAATGTGGAATGCGATGAGGATCATGAGCGAGGGCTTCTTTCCTTCCGCTGATGGCATGCTGGGTCCTGGAGTCTATGTCACTAGAAGCTTTGAAAAAGCCTCCCGTTACCCTCTGCATTCACATGGGGAGATGCTTGCTGTTCTCAGACTCAGCGTGAGAGTGGGCACGGTGAAGAAGATCGACTACCAGGGTCACCCTTTACAGAAGACCTGGTATGAGCATGGATATGACACAGCGTGGGTTCCTCCGAACTGTGGCATGGTGAACAGTGGCCTACAGGAGAACTGTGTGCATGATCCAAGCCGAATCACAGTGCTGGAAGTCATTCAAAACCCCCGATTCTGGTAGATTCTGTAAAAAATAATGAACTCCTCAATAATAAATGAATTTACTCAAAAACACACTCTCTGATTTATGATTTTGTTTGTTTGGTTTTGGTTTTATATAAAACAGAACATTTTTACTAATATCTTTTGTTTTATTTTTTACACAATTCGTAGATGTGCACCTGCATTGTTTTTGTTATTTACATAACGCTTAAGCAATTATTGGCTTAAGCAATTATATATACAAAATACATTTATTTTAAACAATATTCATAATGTGCATTGGACATTCATATATTGTGAATAAAGTGCTAAATTGTTTTTTTTTTTTTTTTGCACAAACAAAGCACTCGCACCACTTCATAAAATTGAGGTTAAACATCTGGAGTCACATGGATTACTTTAATGATGTCTTTAATACCTTTCTGGGGCTTGAAAGTATAGGCTGTCAACGGAGCGGTAGAAAGCTCTCAAATTTCACTAAAAAGATTGTGTTCCAAAGATGAAAGAATACCTTACGGGTTTGTAATGACATAATTTCTGGGTGAACTAACCCTTTAAATGTTCATTCTTGACTTTCTAAAGTTGTTAGCCATTGATTCCATCCAGCATCAGTTTCATCTGATCAACACCAGAGGTCACCATCACTTGCTTTATGACATGAGTTTATAACCTGTGCCAAAATAACTCCAGTCATGACTTGACAACATTTTGAATATATATATAAAAAAAATGTACTGGTCTCCCCTGCATAGTTGTCAACTTAGGAAGTTTTTTGCATGCGTGTCATTTCAAATCTATCCCAACACGTGGATTCCACAAGTACCAGATGTGGGCCGACAATATGTTGCTGTCTGGGATGCATCCTGCCTTGTCAGCAAGAATAAAAAACGAAAAGACAATCTCGTTTAAGGTCTCATTCTTGTATTACATATTACATACCTTGTTAGGAGGTAACTTATGCCTTGAAGGTTTTAGTATCAGTGTTAACTGGAATTTACACACGTCTTACTGATTTCTTATGTTGTTGAGCAACTACTGTGTTCACTTCTTTTGTTAAAAGAAAAAGCCTCTGGAGTTAGTGTAGCATTGTTTGTTTAGTGATTACATACACACATACATACATACATTTCTTGCCTGTTCGTTCAGGCAAGAAACTGAATTGCATTGATGAGAAATATGGTCTAAGTAAGAGTAGGCGACCACACCCTTAACCACCGACCCCCTTTCTCCCCTTTGGCTCCACCCCAATATACTAAATAAAAGTGAAACCAAAGTTCTATAAAGTTTTACTCTTTTTCTAGAGGCTGTGTGGCACCAAAAGACTCCCGAGCATGTAAGTTAAATTAAATCAAAATTTTAATTAAAGACATTTTATTCAGCTAAATTAAATGAAGCCTTTAAAGCTTTTAAATGATGCAGAAAACTAAGTTTAATGTAGAAAGAAAGTTTCACAGCATAATTTGTGTAGTGTTCACAAGGTCCATTCATCATAACTTTCATTTTCATTTTCAAACTGCATATTTTTAATATCATTCAAATAATTTCTTTGGTTATTCACTAATTATCAAATATGAAAACTTTTCAAAGTGCTTTGGTTACTGCCATGGGGGACAATGGTTATATCACTGGAATGCAGAGCTATCCTGGACGGAGAACATACATCATGTACCACGGCACTACGATGGCAAACGCACGGAAGATCCAAAGTGAAGGACTCAGACCCTCCTCTGATGGCATGCTCGGTTATGGAGAGCTTCTCGTTACCCTGGGTTTGCTGGAGGACAACAGCTGGCCATTCTTAAACTAAGTGTTTGAGTGGGAAAAGTGAAGAGGATTGATTATCAGGGTCATCCCTTACAGAAAACCTGGCATCAACATGGTTACGACACTGCGTGGGTCCCGTCAAACTGTGGAATGGTATCCAGTGGATTAGAAGAGGACTGTATTTATGATCCAAGCCGAATCAAGGTTCTACAGATTATTCCAAACTAACTAAAACTTTTGTCAGCTTTATTTTGGCACCTTAATAAAAAAAAAGTCAATATAATGTAAACAGTAAATATGTGTTTCCACTGAGTTTTGCCAAACTGTTTATCTGTAAAAACCTTGTTTGAATCAATCAATCAATCAATCAATCAATCAATCAATCAATCAATCAATCAATCAATCATTCCATCATTAAATATAAAAATATAAATAGGCCTATAGCTGTTTACTTGTATGTATGTCATCATATGCTTTAAGTCTATTTTAAGAAGTGAAATAATCAGACTTTTAGACTCAATTAAAACGTATTTGCATGTCTCTGTTGTCATGTCTTCAATAACAGGTTTCTGATAAGCACTGCAGTTTAGTGGGTTTCTAAGTGAGAATCGTATGCAAAACAAAGATGAAAATAAATTTGCATTTCCACTTGTTTCTCAAACAACTAGTGCTATTGTTGTCATTGTTTTGTTGTCATTATTATTAACATATTAATTTATTTTATTTATTATATATCATTTTATTTATGTCAAAAAGTAGAAACTTTTTTGGAAAAATCAAATCAAATGGAAATTTGGACATACTTTTTGATTTGGTTGCTGTTGCGCTTTTTTATTGCTATATTTTAATTAAAAAAAACGTATACCATGAATGGCCCTGAATGTTTCAGTATAAATCTGTGTTTACAAGAATCGAGTGGAATTTGTGTGCATGTTTCTCTGAATTTAACTGAATTCTTCTGCAAAGCAACATGTAGAGAAACTGCATGAGTCACACAGGTATTATATCACAGAAGATATCACAGCATTGGGGGTTTTCCAAGCGTAAAGGCTCGTATTGGATGAGTTAGTGACTATTCACTTGTTGAAATGAACTATTTCTATAATGATCTTCTTGACAACACAGCTGAAACTGAAAGTACACATTGTATAGAAGAACTCTATGAATTTATGACTCCAGCCTCACTTTATTTCGGTTGTCCACTTTAGACATTCTACTAACTATAGCTAGCCTGGTTAAAACCAGACCATTCTCAGTTGTAACTGAGTTATGGTCTGGCAAGTGGCAAAGCGTCATAGACAAATCATTTCCAGAGGGGCGTCACCAACGGACGTCGCGGATACACCTAAAACCAATCAGAGCGATGAAGGAGATGACGTATGCAGAGCGGCGGAAAAAACATCTCCAAAAGTCTGAGTGTTGTTCTTTGCTCGGTTTTTTAACAAAAAAGAAACGTTCAAATCGCTTAAAACAGACGCGATAGCTGATTCGAACGAGTGATGTTCGACGGTGGCATCCATCTTTGTAATGTAGGCTACAAAATTTGCTTCAAAATCCCAGCGCTGTCGTCATCGTGTAAAGCCCGCCCCAACGTTTCTGATTGGTGCCTCGATTTCGGCGGATTGGAAATGAGCTTGAATGAACTCTTTGCCAGACTTACTTTCAGAGCAAATTTAAATTTGACGGAAGTTGTCTGGGTTTTCCCAGGCTACCATGGGACAGAATTCAAGGTGAGCTCTCGGATCGCTTTCTCTGTAGCGGGAACCTCATTTTCCCTCATCTCAGATGACACTCAGGACAAATAATAATGGTAAATTGTCAAGGACTAGGTCAGAGAAACACTCTTCGCGACTATCCGTCCTAAGTATTCGAAAATAGAATTAGTACGTCCCAAATCGTAGTATGTTGAAATGAGTGTCCCAAAGAGACCCGGATGGTCTACTATATCCGGTCAGAATCCGAAGTGCAGATCGATGCGCACTCTAACGGCTGATATTGCCCACAACCCATTGCGCGTTGGACGAGGATTCGGTTAGAACTACAAACACGAATGAAAAGTGTTCAAAAACTACAGACATGGAGGCGCGAGTCCGACGGTTATGTAGAGAGGTTCAGAGAAAGGGGTTTGAGTGATTAATTATCAGTATCTAACCTGACGAAAATGTATTTATTCAATGTTGTCCACATTATGCATCTGCAGCAGCATTGTGAACTTTTGCAAAGATACGTTGGTTTAGCCATTAACTTTTAAATGCATTATTATATTCAAATTCCAAACACATGAGGAGAGTCTCCGCATGAAAGACCCATGACTGGCAGATGAACGTGCGACAACAATTCTCTCCGAAATGGTAAGAAGTTATATTAGATTGAATGGAGGATTTTAACTGTGACGAGATGATTGACAGGGCAGTTTACGGTGATAGGATGCACGCGACAGATCTGTCCCTTAAAGATGACGAAGTAGTATGTCCCAAAGCTTGCCTACTCTTTTGTTACACACTCAAAAGTATGTACTTTTTCTTCACAAAAAGAGTACATACTATTAAGGCGTAGTATAAGTAGGCGAATTGGGACGCAGCACGAGTGTTGTTCTTTGCTCGGTTTTTAACAAAAAGGAAACGTTCAAATCGCTTAAAACAGACGTGATAGCTGATTCGAACGAGTGATGTTCGACGGCGGCATCCATCTTTGTAATGTAGGCTACAAAATCTGCTTCAAAATCCCAGCGCTGTCGTCATCGTGTAAAGCCCGCCCCAACGTTTCTGATTGGTGCTTCGATTTCGGCGGATTGGAAATGGGCTTGAATGAGCTCTTTGCCAGACTAACTTTAAGAGCAAATCTAAATTTGCCGTAAGTTGTCTGGGTTTTCCCAGGCTATAACTTTGCAACTACTTTTGCAAAGATGCAATTTCAAACCTGAATGACCACAAGAGAGCGGCATCAGCAACTTAGACTGTTGATTCCTAATGTGTCCATAAGATGGCAGCACCATCTTGTAAACAAATCAACAAAGATTTTTATCTTTGAATCTTCTTTTATCTTCTGAATAATTCTTATGTCTTACCATAATTGTTGCCTAATGTTTGTGTGGAGGTCTCTTAATATTATTATTATTATGATTATAATCCTAATCAATAAACTATTTTTTCCCGAGCAGTACATCGTGAGCATGTGCAAGTTGCTTGTATTAATAGCCTATTAAGAAATGTACGTATGCAATTTTAACTAAGTACTCATTTTGTGTCACCAAAAAAGAAAGAAAGAAAAA